TTCAAATACACAATACAATATCATTAACTATAGTCACCATGTTGTACATTGTTATCTCCATGACATTTATTTATTTTATAACTGAAACCTCTCACCCCCAACCTCTGGCAACAATCAATCTTTCTCTTTACCAGTTTGCTATTTTTTGTTTAGATTCCATGTATAAGTGAGATTACACAGTATTTTTCTTTCTCTGAAATTTTTCGCTTAAAATAATGCCCTCAAATTCCCTTACATGGTGCAAATGGCAAGATTTCCTTCTGTATGACTGACTACTATGATTCCACTTTAGAAATTATCTTGTAAAATAAGGAGAAGGTGATTTTTATTGCATTAAAAATGTATTATTCAGAGGTCTTTCATTGAAGGTGACAAAAAGTAAGTTGAATTTAGGCAAAAAGGAAAGTTTATGGTTAAACATGATTTTGCTAAAAGAACAGAAGTGCCTAAAACCAAGCCAAAGGAACAAAACCCCCAGATGTTTACAGTATTTTGTACCTCTGTATCTCTGCTTGCTTCTTGCAAACTAGATTTTGAAACAAATAGGCTGGACAATTACTGCTGGCTGATTGGGGCTCCCTTTTTTCTAGTTGTGTTTTTTTTTTTTTTTTTTTCTGTAGCAATGCATTAAATCTGCATCTCTATCATAGCTCCTTTAGCAGTTTAGATATTTAATTCCCTTGTAAAACAAGCAAAGCCTTCTGGTGCCAAACATGCTTGATACCTTTGGAAGACAGGATGAAATCCTTTTTAGAACGTTTATTGCTAAATGGAGACATAAATTGTGCATGTATGTAACTATATAATAAGGCAAGTGTTTGTGTATGGTTAGAATGGGTACCATTTAGAGCTGTATGTGCAGTTCTAAATATATTGTTTTTTACCAACACTTCTGAATATGACTATCGAAGACAAATTTATCATTAGAGATACTGATTTAGAATTTGGAGTTTAAAAGAAGAGACTGGGAAAAAGAAAAAAGCAAACAAAAACCAAAAACAAAACCAAGAAACAGCCCATCTATTAATTGGACATGACAGTCATTGCCACATTAAAAAAAAAAAAAAATCCCAGTTATCACTTATCAGGGAAATGCATCAAAACCACAATGAGATAACATTCACACCTTTCCTAATACTATCAAATCATTAAATATTCCATCTATTCTATCTCCTTTCATAATACTTGTTCAAGACTGTAATATTCCCACTTATCTCCATAGAATCCTGATCCCTAGAATATCAATCTCTGAGTTCTTTTATCCTTCCTGCTTATCTTTGGGTTATCTGCCTTGTAGATATTTTATTTTTTATTTATTTTTTTAAGATGTATTTATTTATGCATACAAGAATTGGGGTACAGGCCAGATGTGTGGGGGGGTGAGAGGATTCACCAGAGACAGAGTGGGGAACAGAACAGGCAGACTGACTGAAATACTTTGCTGAGGGGAGCAGAGGGTGAGACAGCAGAGGTCTGCCACACCATGTGATTATCTCCCTGGTTGGCAGGGATCGAACCCACACTGCAGAGGCTGTCGACAGCTTCACAGCACTGCGATCAACTTCCTGAGCAACCAGGGAGGCCCACCAAGGACATAGTTTTAAAAAACAAATTAAATAATTGCAGTATACTCCTTCTTGTTACTGCTCATGTATTCCTCGAAAGTTCCTATAAAGTGTGTTCTGGCTTAAATCTACTAGGTTTTCATTTTTTCCTCTGAATTGAATATTCACATATTAAAATCCTAATACGCCTATATACTTGAGATCAATCATAATCCATTGGAAATCTTTAAAATTGTTGGATTATTTGTTTTGCTTTTTCATTATTCATGGATGAGATGGGAAATTTGCTTTGGGAGAAAAACAAGCAGCAATCAACTGATGTCCTGTTTAGCAAATTATTAGAATTTTAGGATAAGAAAGAGGAAGATTATACTAAATTGGACAGAAGCTCTTCTACTCTATATCAAAAGTATTATTTCTGTTGGCAAATGCAGAGAATTTTTAATGATAACTTTAACTTTCACAGAACTAAAATATTAGTTGTCATAAAGAAGTTCACAGAGAACTCTAAAGTTACCCTTGCAGTAGAAAATAATATGCCTTCCAAATACATTAAATATCACACATTACCTGGGACATTTTATTGTTTTAAGATTTTTTTTTAATTTATACAAGAGCTGGGGTACAGGCCAGAGGTATGGGAAGTAAGAGGATTTAGCAGAGACAGAGTGGGGAGCAGAACAGGTAGACAGACTGAAAGCACTGCTGAGGGGAGCAGCAGGAGAGACAGGAGAGGTCTGCTGTGCCATGTGGGTATCTCCCTTGCTGTCCGAGAATCGAACCCTCGCTGCAGAGGCTGCAGGCAGCCTCATAGCACTGTGCTCAACCTGCTGTGCCACTGGGGAGACCCTTCATGGGACATTTTAAATTGAAAATGAAGTTGCATATAGTATTAGTAACTGAAAAGATAATCATCTCTGGATGAGATGAAAAAAGTCAGACACTAGGTGAGAGAAAAATAGTGGTTGAAATAGTAGCTTTTCATTTTAAATTTTTAAGTATTATTTTGTTATCAGTTGGCTGCTCTCTAGTATTATCATGCAGACTATAGAAAAATGCAATATTTATTTATACTTATAGAAATTATATTTCCTTGATCCATTATTTTTCTGAAATAATAATAGTGAAGTTGTATTTCCTCATCTTTAAAAGCAGAAATAACTTAATGCCTTCTTTCAGAGTAAACATTTCCTCCTATTGCTTAATTCACCATTTTCTTTGTCTTTGCATACATTTTTTTTACCTTAGCTTAACACACTAAGGACATTAATAAAAACAAAACTAGAAGAAAAGAAAATGATTCAGGAGACAGAATGACTAAAGGAAAAAAATAGGAAAAGATAAGATGAGTTATATAGAAATAAATACTTAAAAGTAAGTTTATCACCAATTAGATTTTTTCTATATCACAAAGTACATCAACAAATATTCAGCCAACTTTCAAATATAAACATTTCCTCTATCAAAATCACATTATTAATAGTGAACTTAAGCTAAATACAAATCAGGTTTTTATAGATTAACAGCTAAACTTTTGCTTAGTAGTCAACATGCACTTAATTTCTCAAATAAAAAGAAATATGTATAAGATATTTTTAATAAAATTAAAATTCTAGGAGCAGTGTATATATTTATTAGCAAAAGAAATGTTTGCTATTACAGTGTAAGATTATCAGTGTAAGAACATGCAATATTAATTATGTTGGGAGGAAAATGAACAGTGAGATGTGACATAACTGAATAAATTATTACATACTATTATAAGAGGACAACATACAATATACATAGATGATAAAAATTAAAAAAATCATTTGAAACCATTTATCCATGCATATTACACGTAGAAGCAAAATTAATTGTTAAAAATTGGAGGCAGCCTTTGGGTAGAGTAAGATGGTAGAAGAAAATCTTTTTGAATTTCAAATCTACTTTGTTTTTGATCTTCAGCACTTTTCTATTTGTATAATTTAAAATAAATTACATAAAGTAAGACAAAGAGTTTACAATTCTTTTCTCTAGAAGACTTGAAAATTTTAGCCAAGTTGAAAGGTCTTCCACTGGTCCTTAAAACATGAACACTACAAATATGTGTCAATAAGTACACAATAGGTGCCACAGCAATTCATTGTTCATATTTGTGCAGTGTTATAGGGCCATCTCATTAACTGAATTTATTGTAGCAATCATTTTGCAGAATGTCTTTATTAAATCATTTCATTGTACATCTTAAACTAATGCAATATTATTTGTCAACTATATCTCAATAATAAAAAGAATTGTCTTCTGATAGTAAGAAATGAGACTTCTGACATTTTATAAGTGATTATAATACTAAATGATAGAATTTTTTAAATCAAGCTTTTAATATTAAGTTGGATATATATTAGAATTGAAATATTTCCTTTAAAAATCTAGAAAACTGCCATTTCTTAGTTTAAAGCTTTATTTCTGAAAATTTTGTTTGCATGGAGAATGTTGATTATATATTTTTGTAAGAAATGCAACATAGAAGCACAGCTAGTCACAACACAATAAAGAAAATAGTCTATAACGCTAATTATAGGTCAACAATAAATACATGCTGGTACTGGAAATTGTAGCACCTTCTTAGGAGGTACTTTTTTATTAAATATCTTTGTATGCAGAAATAATATAAACTGGAATAGAAAAACCATAGAGGTTACCTGCTTCAGCTTCTGAACTTTCACTTAAAAGTCATACTTTGCTCAATGTCAAGAAAACTGTTATGCACTGTGATCATGTCAGTTCTGTGATCTTTTCTTTTGTTTTTAGTCCTCCAAAGAGTAACAAGGAGTAACTATTATGAATTTAAAAAGCTGGGTTACCTGATGTGTCGATTGTAGAGATTTACCTCCAGCTGTAAATTTATGATCAATTCGGAAATAATCATTTAGTCTCCAAGGAATGTCAGAACTGTGAAAATTAGCTAGTAAGAAATTGTACTGAACTCCATAGAAATACAATTATTCCAGTAAGATTCAATTGGATAATAAGAGTAATGATTCATTTCTGTGTAATAGATACCTCTAAAAAGTGACACTGAAAGCTTCTTCATGGAATTTTAAAAATAACTTAATTCTCACAACATGCTTCCTTTATAAAGATATTATAGATTTGAAAAGTTGTTTCTAATTCTCTTCTTTGAACAGGAAAAATGGCTTTCATAGAAAGTGTGAAACTTTGCCAGTCAGAGAAACTTGGATATAAATTTTGACTTTGTTCCTTAAAAATACTGTAGTGTGGCAAGACTTGTAGAACCTTGGTGAATTTCTTACTAAATTGAATGATTTTTTTATTTTTTTGGCTTTCTTCTTTATTTACGTTGTATTAGCATCCTGTTCTAGAGATGAGAGAATTATGATTTAAACATATTTTTGTTTGAATCCCAAATTCATATGTGTTTCCCTATTCTAGGAAATATAAAGAGATATTCACCATTTGGAATGTATTCTGTGAACAATGAAATATACATAAATGGTCAAGAGCTGTGAGGCAAGTGTGAAAGATCTCTTCAGTCCTGGTTGATCAGAAGAGGAGTCAGATCATCTGTGACTCTGAAATTTATTTTCAAACTTCCTTTACCTTAGCTATACTGAAGTATGTGCTTTTTAGTGTGACTGTCTACTTACCTAATAATAGACATTCCCAAATCTCCCTGCTAGTTAATCTATTTTGCATAGCAGGACTTGCCTTCATTCTTTAATTAATTAATTTAATAAACTCTTATTCAATGTTTATAATGTGCAAATTACTTTGTGAATGTACCCACAAAAGAAAGTTAGTAACAATGAGCCAAAGCCTAGTGATTTGGAAGTAGAATATTCCAGCACTCCTCGACCCCTTAAATTGTAACAGCCTCTGGAACACATCTCTGGTAAGGTGTAAGAAAGATACACTTTAAAACATGATAAATCAAGCAATAATTCATTGAAAGTTATTGTATTCTACAAAGAAAAAAGGAAGTTCATGCTAGATGAATAGTGTTAGTCAAAGTGTAAGAGTATGTTTTGTTAAAAATAAATTTCCAAGAAACTGTGCTGAAACTATGTTTAATATATGAACTAATTTCATGGGAGATAAGAATGAAAAAGTAGTTTGGAAAAATGTTATGGTGACCTGCTAATAGCATTAAAAGAAGTTTTAATTTTAATCTGATGGCAACTAATAACAAAATAGCAGAGCTAAAAACTGGCTTCTATTAATATTTTCTTTTTTAAAAAATGCCACTGGGAATGATGTAAATGTCAATTAATGAGTCAGAGAATGGAATGTAATGGAACGTATCTGGAAGGCAAGTGATAAAGACCTGAAACTAGACACATATCAATAATGGGGAAAAATGGGTACAGTGCACACTGTCAACATACAGATGTGCAGAAAAGATGCCAGGAAGACTTGTAATAAAGCAAAGAGTTCGGGTGAATATAATTATGTAGAAATAAGATTGGGAAAGCCATGAAAACCCATCTGTTCAATATTTCAAACAGTTTATATTTTTCAGTTGAAAATATTGCTAGAAGGTATTTAAATTCATTTTTTTATTTATTTATTTTTGAGATTTATCTATTTATTTATACAAGCACTGGGTACAGTCAGAAGCAAGGGAGGGTGAGAGAATTCACCAGAGCCGGAGCGGGGAATAGAACAGGCAGACCGAGGAAATACACTGCTGAGGGGAGCAGCGGGGCGCAGCAGGAGAGGTCTGCTCTCCATGTGGGACCCTCCCAGGTGGCCAGAGATCGAATGGGTGCTGCAGAGGCTGTGGACAGCTTCGCAGCCCATTGCTCAACCACTGCGCCTCCAGGAGAGGCCCTATTTTAATTTTGTTTTCACTTTATGATCTAACATAGTTATTGAACATGCATTGCATTACAATATCATATATATTTCAGGTGTACAGTATTAAAAATCAGCATGTGTTTATATTACATTAAATTCATCACTAAAAGCCCACTTATATCCTTTACCACATAACTGATTCTTTTGACCTGAAAAAATCATTCCTCTTCCCCTTTCTAAAACAAATTTTAGAATATAAGACCAGCTAATGGTTATGAGAGGGGAATTAAAATTACCATTTTGATGATAAAAATATGTAGAGTTCTGATATCTCGGGGCAAATATAGTATCAACAGTCATGGATATGGGAGGACACTGAGGTGCAAATAGCAGGACCTGGGAAAACCGAGGGCTCTAGGCTCTAACTTCAATGTTCTTTCACTGAGTAGATATAATTTGTTAAGTGACTATTTTTGTCAGCCACTGTACTAGACAGTGTATCTAATTTTAGCAAAAGAGACTTTGTTCTTGACTTCAGAGAGCTTACATTCTTGTTGAGAAGTGGGAAAAAAGTGTAAATAGATCAGTCTGTTATAAACTGATGAGAGAATTAAAAAATCATCAGCAAAAAAAAAATCATCAGCGAGAATTGTAATGTATGCTTATTCATCAGTAAGGAAAATTGAGATAAAATCATTCAAAGTAGAGGAAACAGTATGTGATATGACTCTGTATTATAGAGAAATAACCCCTATACAGATTACAGCATACATTTTCAAATTTAGACTGGATCTTTATAAAAGTTGAGACATTATAGAAGTAGAGGGACTAGAAGTTATCAAAACTATGGACAATATAAAGTTACAGGGAAAAGTGACAATAAGAAAAAAGAATATGACAAAAAGGAACTTAATGTCAAAAATTGAATGGGATGGGTGGTATTTGCAACTGTTCACAACTATTTAAAGAAGGAAGAAAAGCTAAACATCTAAAAATTCATTTTCATTTAAGAAATTAGGAAAAGTACCAAGCTAAACCCATCATCAAAAAAAGAAGGTATTTATAAAGTTTAGAGAGGAAATATATGAAATAGAAATAAGTATTAGGGAAATTTTGAATTTAAAGTTAATTCTTTGCAAAGATCAACTTACTAAATACAGAAAACATCTAACAATACTGAACACTCTTTCATGATAGTTTTACTCAACATACTAGGGACAGAGAACTTCTTCAACATGATACAAAATACCTATGAAAGAACAAAGCTAGCCTAATACTTAATGGCAACAAACTGAAAATGCTTTTCTCCTAAGATTAGGAACAAGTTGAGAATGTCTGCCCCATCACCTCTATTGAACATACCATTTGCATATGGTATGATTTTGCATTTAGAAAACTATGACGTTCATTGAAAAAATGGGAAAAATAGGTAATTTCCTAGAGATAGAAATCATATTAGTGTTTTCTAGGGATTGGCAGAAGGGAGAAAATGGGAGTGTCTGCTAATTAGTATTGGAATCTTTGGGGATTGATGAAAATGTTCTGAAAATTAAATAGTGTTGATGGTTGCACAATTCTATGAATATATTAAAACCTACTGAATTGTACACTGTTACAGGGAGAAATTTATATCTTGGCAAAGCTGCCATTAAAAATATATAAGGTCAGGGTTAGTAAAAATAATATCTGTAATTTGGATTTATATCTAAAAACATGCTCTTTTTATTATAAGGGTTGATTATGAGGAAGTACTGTACTCATTAGAGAGATATTGAGCCTGAGATTTAGAATGATTAAAAGATATGGCTACATTCACAAACAGAAGAACTGGAAATAGGGTTTAAAATGAAATCTGCCTGCCCTCTACAAAAACACTCTATTTCCCTAAGTACCTTATGCAGAATAAACAAATTAAGAGAGCAGAATCTGAATTTGAATCAGATAATATACCTTAATGCTCTACACCCTCAATTTCCGAACTTTTCTTATAACAATGCAAGGTAATTTTTTTCTTGAGATTTTAGTAATCAGTGCTGATTCTGTGACAAAATTAAATTTGATTCAGTTTCCTATTACTTCACATTTTATAGGAATATTCTACTTAATTTCCATTTGTATAATTCGTTCACTCATCATTTGTGTATTGAACATCTACTTTATGCCAGCAATTATTCTGCCAACAATATAAAATGAAAAATTTTACTTTTATGTCTTATTTCTCAAGTATTTCTATACTCTAATGACCTCTATAAGTTTGCCTTGTAATTATTGGTAGTTGAGTTGTCTTTGTTTTGTTAGAAACATTACACATTCTAAAATTATTTTGTCCATCCATAAGTATGTTGTGGAAAAGCATTGAAACACCAAAAATAAAATCATTAAGGAGATTTAATTGTTGATTTTGAAAAGGTCCTGACTGTGAGTTAAATTAACATATATGTATAAATTTAAACATAAAAACACACATATAGGGCCTCCCCCGTGGCGCAGCGGTTGGGCGCTGGGTTGCGAGGCTGCCCGCGGCCTCTGCTGTGCCGGTTCGATCCCCGGCTGCTCCCCGGCCACCGGAGGAGGGTCCCACATGGCGCGCAGACCTCTCCTGCCGCCCGCTGCTCCCCTCAGCAGTGTACTTTGGTCCTGCCTGTTCTGCTCCCCGCTCTGGCTCTGGTGAATTCTCTCACCCTCCCGCGCTTCTGACTGTACCCAGTGCTTGTATAAATATAAATAAATAAATAAAGATTAAAAAAAACACACACACACACATAAATACAAGTATGTTCAAAAAAGCTAAAACCAATTACAAATATTTATTTTATCCCATGTAGTTCTAAAATCTGGCACCAGTTTTTTGTTGATTAATTGTTCAGGATAGAAGCCATACACTTCTAGTTTCTTTATTACTCAATCTTGATTCAGCTTCATTTCCTTTTAAGGTTCATTGCAATTAATGATGCACTCCATTTAGCACAACAAAAGATTTCTAATTCCCTGTAAATTCCAAGTTTGTTCTCCTGGGAATTAGCACTTCTCAAGTAACCAGACAGCCTTGCAATATGCTAGTTCTTGTTTGATGACACAAAGGCCAATGGAAAGGTCATGGTAAGACTACTTTTAATGAGTTATTAGATAAATACATTTTCTAGATAGTTTAATCTCATCATTAGTCTTCAAAGTACTTTAAGAAAAATCTTTAAATATGTATGTTAGTTCTCAATTATCTATGGTAATGAGAGGAGCAGCAGTGTGTATAATGCAAAATGGATGAAAATATACTCTTAGAGGACACCTGTGTCATATGCTCAGAGAATAAGTAAAATTCAAATCAAGCAATGAGACTGAACTAAAAAGATCCTTCCCAACCACTCTCATTCCTCTTTCCCAAGCATATTTCTGTTTCTACTAAACTTTCCCCCATATTCTTTTTTCAATATTAGTGTTGAAAATCATGCATTTCACATTAAAATAGTGCTAACTCAAGGAAGGAAGTATCTAGACTCTGTTGAGTTTACTACCTAAATGACTTGTGTTTCCTTGAATAGTTGCTAGAGAAAACAATGTTGTTTTATATAAAAGTCTATTATGGAGGAGGAGTCATAGCTGGCAATCCTCACACCAGGCACAATCAGAAATCATTTATTACCCACATGAAATCTCACCATAACTACGTTGCTCC